TGATGCACAAACACCGGATGTAAGGAGAAAAAATGGCTTGCTGGATCTATGATCTGGACAAACAGGTCTATTTCGGAGACTTACCTAGCTTTGATCAATAAGTGATAAAAATTTTGTATTTTTTCGGAAGATCTGAAAATGAGAGACAATCTTTTCAATGGCTGGGCTGCTTTGAGTGAAATTCTTTGTAACCAAAAAATTTAAAAAAAAAAATGATTTACTGCTGAACGGTGACGAATTAGGAGCTTTTTTCACAAAAAACAGAGAAGTACCATTTTGGAAAAACTGTTGGGGGGAGGGCAGCTTCTCAGTACAAACAACAAATGATATGTACATGGAGCAGGCCAAACACCGGCACACAACAAATTAATCCACAAAAACGTAATATTCCCTTTTATCTGCAGGCCGTATCTCATCGGAAGCTTCCACAAACTCATCCATGTCAGAATCTATATCGGCTGTATCTGTTGTTTCAGAATCCTCATCACTTGTGGCTGGCTCACTACGCTTGCCTTCCTCTTGCACTTCCACTGCTTTTACTTCCTCTTCTTTGCCCTCGTCTGCCGAAGTCTGTGTCACCACTGGTGCAGCTTGCTCTTCTGCCTTTTCTTCTGCTGGTATTTTGCTGGCCTCAACTTCTGCTCGCCGTTTTTCTAACTCTTTTGCCGCATCATGCACCTAAAATTTTGTCCTATAAGATGCGTCCTAAATTGTCTTGAACTGTTCTAAATTATAAAATTTTGCCCTAAAATTTCGTCCTATAAAACTTCGTCTCAAAATTTCGTCCTATAAAACTTTGCTCTAAAATTTTGTCCCATTAAGTGCTATAAAAAATATATTTAAAAAAAGCTAAAGAGGGAAGCGTCAGTAGCTGGTCGTTCATTGATATGGTGAGATGCTCGCGAAAAGCCGACAAAATCTCACAGCAACTTCACATACTGTTTTTGGGCAGGTACTAAAACCCGACTTGGCTCAACCGCGCGATCTGCACTCCTTTTTGGTTTCTAACTGGAACTGCGAAAATCATGGCACCGGTTTTTTTTTTTTTTGTCTAAGAAAAGTTTCAAGTATCGCCTTCAAGATCATTCTTAAAAACTTCTTTTAAAAGAACGACGCAAATTTACTGCAAAACTACCACTGCTAATTTATTGCCTTAAATACTAATAAATTTTGCACTTTTTTAAGAGAAACATCCAAAATTTTAACCCAAAAATGCTAAAATCCAAAATAGTGATTATTTTGAAGGATCTCGTTAACAAAAGAAATGCCTGGAATAATAATAATAATAATAATAA